ATTTCCTGCGTAAATCCATTGGTTATTTTAAATACAGATGAGAGAAATACTCTTTAAATAAAACTAATAACGTGAGTCATTCACTGCTTAAATTCAATCATACTTTTCTGCAGAGAACGAATGAAAAGTGACAACATGGTGCAGATTGCGCAATTAATAAACCGTTGGACAAAATCAGTTATGAAATTTTTGGTGTTGATATCTTATAGAACCTATGTAGTTTACTGTTTGCAGAATAACAGGAACTGGTGAGAATTTCTGAAGCGGTTACCACGCTGAAAGATTCTTACTGTCTAAACCTCCGAAAGATAGATAGTATGAAGTATTAATACGGTTATTCTGTCACCTAACAGCCTGTTGATCGACTCTCGAACCTACCCCTCCATTAAGCGCAATTTTATCTACACTATTGAGGCTTGAGATTCTTCCGAGACTCCAGCTTTCAGAGGACCAGGACACTATCAGGCTACATCAATGTCGATGAGTAAAGCTGTCATGTAAAGAAAAAAGCAAACCGGCGGCGAAACGACCAGAGGTGAAACTCCATTATGGGCCTTCTTGCTTTCGCTCACTGCTACTCCTTTGGTGCTTTTACCTGGATCATTTACATCGTCGCCATCCCCATTGCCTGCATTTACATCTCCACCGCTACTGACGTTATTGTCGTCGTCTTTGGTGTTGTTTTTTTGTGCGGTGACATCTGTTCCATTGGAAACTATTCTGTTCACATGTGAAGATCCTGTTGAATTGATATACTTCTTTACTGCTGCGGTGAAAATTTTTTATACCCATTAACTTTTGATGCTCTATTAGTATGATGATTGTGTTATTAAAAAAGTTGATTTTGAAGATCGTGGTGGGGTGGTGTAAAGCAAAATCGGTTAATTTCATATAAGCGATTATCTTTTTGCTGCTTAGGGAAAAGCAATTAGCTAAATGTATTTTCAACATTTATTAGAGACGAATTCGTCTCAGCAACCTCTACATTAGGCACACCCTTCTCTCAATGATGATGATGAAGGTGAAAAGTTAAATCAATACGAAATTTACACAAAGTCATACAAAGTACAAAGTAATGAAGTCAAGAAAGAGACCAATTTTTCCTCCTCAAGGGGTCTTTGATAGCAGACCACTTTCTTACAGGTTTCAGCCACGTGCAGTCGCCTTTCTGCACAGAACTGCCTAGACAGGATGTGTGACCTACTTTGTATTAGAGATTCACTTTAATTAACAAGAGAGGCAACAAATACCTGGAGTTAAATTGCAGGTTTAAGGTATTTTGGCTAACTCAAATGTCGTATGCAGAGCTAGTAGGGCATAGCTCCCCAAAAGGTGGCAACAGATTTGAAAGATTTTATGGTTAAAAAATTTATCACTTTGTCGAAAAACATAATGAATAAAAAAAAAACAAGGCATTTCAAAAGGATAATGTAATCAAATAGAAAACATTATGTCTAGTGAGTGAATTATACCTTTTTGTTCACAAAAGCGACCGTAATACCCAGTTTTCTCACAATCACATTCGGCCCTGACCACCAGATCAACACAGCGTCC